GTGTGTGTGTGTGTGTGTGTGTGTGTGTGTGTGTAAAGATAAACTAAGACTTTACTTAGAATCTTAGGGTGCATTGCAACTGATCAAACGTATTAAGAGCAACATTTCATCCAAAACTAACATGGTACCTACCAGTTTCATTATAATTTTTTCTGTATAAATCAAATTGCAAGAAGCAAGGATACATTGGGAAAATTTTAACAGAATCTAGGTATCCTCCAGATTGAGATTATAATTTCCAGAATTTCCTGTTATTTTAGCCATTATGGCTTCAACACACCTGGAAATCACCAGGTAGGGGAAGACACTTCACTTATTTGCATATATACAAAAACAGTGAAGTCACCAGCAGGCCATTGATAAATGAATGACTATCTCTATGAGAAAACATTTAACAGAATGTGACAACACCTGCTAGATCTTGTCTGAGCTTGGAAGCTAAGCAGAGTCGGGCTTTGTTGGGGTTTGAATGGGAATCCTCCAGAGCAATGTTTCTCAACCTTGGCAACTTTAAGACATGTGGACTTCAACTCCCAGAATTCTCCAGCCAGCAAGGCTGGCTAGGGAATTCTGGGAGTTGAAGTCCCCTTGTCTTAAAGTTGCCAAGGTTAAGAAACACTGCTCCAGAGAATACCAGCCTATAGGATATACTGGGAAGTTGAAAAACATCGTGGGAAAGGCCAATGACAAATCATTGTGACCAAGGAATGGCTGTGTCCATATATAGTATTCACCAGGGACAAACTCAACTCTTTAGAACAACTGAGGAAGACAACTTCAGTTACTGTCCATGCAGAGTGAATTAACAATGCTGATAATGTTAGAGGCCAAGTTTATGGGACAGAATGTCCTCTTCTCCTCTGTACAATCTCCTGCACTGCTCCCACAAAATAAAACCAAGAGCACTGGAATGATACACACGAGCATGGGAAGGAATAATTGTTCCAAATCAAATTTGGATCATAAATGTAATTTCATTTAAGGAAGTTCATGGAAGAAATATGATCAGTTTTCTTCTCACCTCTGAAGTCACTCTGTATCCATCCCCTTTCATTCAAGAAGGCCTTTCCTTCCTGACCTTTAAGTGACTATTGGAGAGCTGAACCACTGAAATCAATGGAATTTTAGGATTCAATCTTGGATTCCTTTTGGAAATCAAAAGAAGACTCATTATTCTCTAATGGGTAAAATGGCTTCTTTGGTTGGAGGAAGCTCAACAGAAAAAGATCCAGCCTTTTCCTTCTCCAGCATGGACAGTAAGAACAGATATGGCCATTAGTTCTCTCTATTTTCTGATCCCCTCATGAGATGGATGAGAAGAACAAGAAGTTTCCCACTTCCCATCATTACCTTCTCATTTTCTTCTGCTTCTGATCCTGCTTCTCACTATAAGGAGTGGGCAAGTGAGTAGTCAAGATAGAGGCAGCAGTTTTATAGTTCACACATATTGTTCTCAGGATCCATTCCAGGCATTCAACAGATCCCAAGCGGTTTAATTCCAGTCACACTGCTAAGTGTTTTTTGACAAAAATCTAGGAAAGGCTAAATTATTATTTTAAGGAATGCAATTCCAGCCCATGAACAAGCTACTACATTACTTCCTACATTTAGCTCATCCCATTCTAAAATTGAAGATTGATGTAGAATGTAGGGAAGAAAAGGGGAAAAAAAGACCTACTTTTAATCCTGTCTATTGCATCTCTTCCATAAAAATGTAATTGCCTATTTAATTCAAGGAGACAGCAGCAAAGTAGAACTGCATTCATTTTAATACTCACAAACCCACTTTCATTCTCATCAAGAAAAGGGTATGCCCGCAGCAAATAACTCACTATGTTGTTGTACTGCTGAATGATATGATGTACATGTTCATTTTGTGTGCACCGACAAGTCAGTTTGTTTAACGTTCCTTATGGAATATATTAAAGACTTAAACGCAGAAAAAAGAACAATGGCACTACAAACAAAGGCTTTGAATCTTTTTATGTTAATGTTTGCCTCTAGCCTATCAGCAAATTGAACAAATTATAAGATTCTTGGTTTTTTCCGTTCATTCATCTGCCCAGTCTTTACTGTTGCTATTACCACTTTCAGCTGTAAAATAAACTGAAGGGCATCCAGGAACTTGAGACAGGAGAAGGTATGAAGTTCCAGGTGATCAGAGAGTGAAGAGAATTATATGATACTTTACTAGTATGGTACATCTGTTTTTAAGAAGTGCTGATTGAACTGTGTTCTTAGCACTGTGAGCTCTATTCTATATTCTCTGTCTTTAATCTTCACTGAGAACTATACTAATTTCAAAGTTTTCCATTCTAAAGACACACACACATATACACACACACACACACACAAATCTCCTCTCACCCCTATGGGTGGTATGTGTCTTCCTCAATCTCAGGTCTTCTACCAGAGGCCGGGGAGTTTGAGGGTTCTGCGCAGTATCTTAGCTGTTCCTAGCACTGCAGTCTTCTGGACAGACAGCTGTGATGTTGTTCCTGGGATCTGTTGGAGCCACTCTCCCAGCTTAGGAGTCACAGCCCCAAGTGCGCCTACTATCACTGGGACCACTTTGGCCTTTACTTTCCACATCCTGTCTAGTTCCTC